ATCCATCCATTGGTTCCAGTTTGCTGATGACGCGGCTGTAATTACTGGCCAAGAATCCGAAAACCAACATCTATTAAATCGATTTTCTATCTGGTGCCAATGGTCCGATATGATTATCCGAGTTGACAAATGCAGTACCTTTGGCATTAAAAAAGCGATCACAAAATCAGTTCAGTACTTGCCAAAACTCCTCATCAGCAATCAACTAATACCAAAAATCACCATTGGAGAATCATTTCAATATTTAGGACGTTACTTTGATTTCCACATGTCGAATGATAATCACAAAACTGAACTAACCACCCTACTGAATGAACTAATGTCTGATATTGACTCAAAGCCACTACACCCCAAAAATAAACTGCTCCTCTACAGTCGCTACGTCTTGTCCAAGTTAGCCTGGCACTTCACCGTCGCAACACTCTCTAAAACATGGGTTACTGAAAATATCGACTCTATTGCCAACAAATATATCCGCAGATGGCTTGAAGTACCAATATCAGGAACACTAAGTACTGTCTTTCTAACAAATAACAAATTTGGCCTGAGTATTTATCCTCCATCTGTAAAATTTATCCAGTGTCAAACAGTCCTCCGAAAAGCTTTAAAATATTCTCCTAATGAATCAACTAACGACCTGTGGAGAGCAACCAGTAACCATACTAATATCCAATATGACGCTTATAACTCTACTAAGGAAGTTCTCAAAGATTTCCGTTCTGGACACGAAAACAAACTCCTAAACCAATTAACCAGTCAAGGATCCTTTTTCTGCAGCGTCACGAAGTTCGCTTTACCTCAGCTTAGCAAGGTGTGGTCCATCGCCCAATCAAAGCTCCCGAAAAACATTTACAACTTTACCATTCGTTACATTAACAACTCTCTTCCGACGCGCAAAAACCTAAACAGATGGGCAATATCTTCAAATTCAGACTGTTCTTTTTGTCTTAGCCCTGAAACATTACTACACATAGTAGCTGGATGTCAGTTTTATCTCGACCGATTTACGTGGAGACACAATTCAGTCCTGAACTTTCTTGCTCATCAGTTACAAACTGTTGACGGTTCTACTCTCTACGCTGATCTAAATGGATTCAAAAGCCCTTCAATACTTACTGGTGATACGTATCGCCCAGATTTGTTATTATCGTGCTCAAATGGTTCCTTATATGTGGTTGAACTCACCACTGGTTATGAGACAAACCTCAAAAACAACGTAAAACGGAAGAAGGATAAATATAGAGAATTATTGAGACAGCTAGGTAAAAATTTTAACCAAGTTAAATTTATAAATCTCTCCATCAGCTCTTTAAGTATTTTTGCAGAAGAATGTTATACATTTTTAGACATGTTAGATAGTATTGGTCTTGACAAAAACCACCAAATGTACTGCGTTAGGAAAATGATGACTATTGCTATTAGAACTACATATTACATTTTCTGTTGCCGAAATAAAGAATGGGAAAATCCGGATTTACTAACAATTTGACTTATCTCATTGTATATATATATATATATTGCATGCACTTTGTTCTGTTATTTTAGTTTAGTATAATTGTGATTCAAATAGCCAACCGTAAGTTACCTTTATGAGAGAGATTTACGATTGTATATGTATGTAAAGAAAAACATTTAATAAAGTTTCCATTATTATTATTATTATTATTATTATTATTATTATCTAATCAATGAGCAGGAAGCAGATTATGATAAAGTCAAGTTCGTCAATTTATCCTTGAGTACCCTCGGAGTTTTTGGCCGATCTTGTGAAAATTTCGATGGCATGCTAAGTAGCCTTAAATGTGATGCCAAGTATAGTAAATACATAAAAAAAGCAAATCGTGAACATATGCATACGAACATCATATTATGTATTTTGTAAACGAAACAAGGTGTGGGATAACCCAAAATTAATGTTAATATAATCCTTCTTAAAATAATTATTGTACAATAAATATATAGTATCAATTCAAGTAGACATTGATAAACTACCTGTAAAGCGAGGTTTATCATTGTAGTTGTATATATCCTAATAATCAATAAATAAAGTTTCCATTATTATTATTATTATTATTATTATAGGCTTTATTTAATGAGGCTAACACTTTACAGTAGTAAATTAACACTGATGACTTCGTGGCCCTCAAAAGCTTTTGCATATAGTTTGGCAACAGATCAAACAGATAGGTTTTTTATTAGACAAAGAGTATTAATACTTCATAACATATTGACTTAGCGAGATCTTATTCATTGGTAGCTACTTGGGCGACTAAAAAATGTTCAAAAAATATCAACCGGTCCCCTATAACACCAATTACGGCAACTACTACTCACAATGGAACAGGCCGTTCACAGGGGCTCTCCAGAGAACTTGTTCTTGTCCTTTTTTTATAGAATTTTTTTACAATCATACAGTAGTCCCCCGCTAACTCGAACTCGCTTAACTCGAACTCTTCGCTAACTCGAACTAAATCCAATTCCCCTTGGATCTGGTACTGTTTTTTATAGTAATTTACTCCGCTTAACTCGAACTCGCTTAACTCGAACTCCTCGCTAATTCGAACAAATTTTGTTTTCCCTTGGTCAAATTTATCCCGTTAACTCGAACTTTGTTTTCGAGTCGTGGATCGGCAAACCTTAAAATGTCAGAACATAGCATTTTGACAACCGGTAACTTGGATTTTTATTCAAATGACGACAATTTATTCGGTGTATAAATGATCATAAATTTTAAAAGATTATACACATAGTTGCGACGATTGTTATTGATCTAGTTTTTTAGTTCCTTTTGTAAAATCTCTACATGTTTTTCCTAAGAACTTTAGTTTGCATGGAACTTGCATGCCTTCTCCATCACCCAAGTTAAAAAGATACTGACTAAAGAACATTAGTTATAGGGATGCACAATTAAACTTTTTGTAATTTGATGAACATAAGAAAACTTTTATACCTTATTAATTATTAACATAATAAACGTAATCTGACACCAACTCCGGTTAATTCGAACACCCGCTAACTCGAACAAATTTTTCGTTCCCCTTGGGAGTTCGAGTTAGCGGGATTCTACTGTATTTTAATCAAAATGAGTTTGCCCCAAGAGCGTACACCCTTATCTAGAGGGCTTGCCCTTTTAACCCCAGCCAAGTGTACCAACCTCTTCGTTTTATGTCTAAGTTTTCCCTCCTATTTTCATTCAGGACTTTATTCATATTGAAAAGTCGAAAGCAGACGACGAAACTGAACTGGAGTCAACAATGACCATTATTAGTTCCAGACTTCTTCTCTATGTTCGCGCGCTGACGAACTCCGTAGCAGCTTTGATGGCCGACGTTCTTAACAGAGGTGCAGTAGAATCTATAATCTCAGAGGCGAAAGCCCCGCCTAGCTCTGACGACTTCGCCAACGATGCCCAAATTTGGTTTAGAAAATATTATGGGACTTTTTGTTTACGGCGACGTGTCACGTTTTATCTTCTTCTAGCTCCATTTCAAGAAGAATGCGATGCTTTAGAACGAGAAACTACACTGTCAGGTAGCCGACCCTCTTTATTTCTAACGACCCTTGTTTTTTCGATGTGATTGGGTTGTTTACTTACTTACCTACCTACCTACCCTATATGTTTTTTCTTTGCTCGCTTAACGTGTTAACGTGACACCAAAATGGCGTCTGTTGCCCACAGGTATTGCTTCTTGAAAGGTATTGCTTCTTAACTCTGTGGCAACATATTTCCCTGTCTTTTCCAGAGGATCGTGTTGATCATTCAGATTCTCCGCTGACAGATATGACAGTATTGTTTGGAGGCGCAGGTCGCCTGGCAAATTTTCTGGAATATTTTGACAAATGGCTGGAAAAAGAGGAAACACAAACGTTTTGGGAATCATTGGCTTGGGTTAGGAACAAATTGTAAGTTGAAAAGTGTTGCACATTTTTGCATATAGTTAGATGCATCTTGCATCTGACATGTCTAGGGTGCGGTGTGTCTGAATGCGAACCCCTTGAAATCTATGAAGCTCCTCCAGCAAACGTTAGCATTACCCAGTCGTGATCCTCAACAACGCCCCCTCCCTCCACTTTGAAAAATCTGCATCTTGTGGAAAATCATATCCCCCATACAAAGTATACCCTTGCAAGTTTAGTTTAGATCTGCTCATGGTGTAATCCGTGGTTTATTTATCTCTTTTAGTATGTCAAGAATTTACTCATTATTAGGTAAGTGTAAAACTTAACCTAAAACATACTAACCAGTGCGCAGCACGACTAGCTACAAGTGTTTTGAATAGCTTCAAACACGACTACAATAGATGCCGTCTCATTAGGATGGAGTTTTATGTAAAGAATACTAATTAAGATGAGATTTATTAGGTACTACTGTATAAAGCTTCTTCACGTGACATATTATGGTTGACATGATTTACCAATACGCTTATGAATTCAAATATTAATGAGTGTTTGAAGATCTTGGATATGATCAAACGCGCTTAATATTATTACGTATTACACTTACTTAGTTACATACATAGCCTGGACTATTTTATCTTTTACAACAATTGTAAAATTATTTTTATAACTGTGTTTATCCTAAACCACCTTGTCACTGACTTCCCCCATCATTTTATTTCGCATCAAGGTCGAATTCATCACGCACAAGTCGACTGGATCGATGGTGTTTCAGAATTTTTTCGCAACATGTGTCACGTGTTTGGTCACGTGTACACTGTAAATAGAGTAAGTTCAACCTTTGATGGATGTCACCATTGACAGAGCAGCAGAGGATAGTCTACCTTAAATTAATAAATTTTGTTGACACTGATAGGGGCAAGCAAATTATACAACATCTTTTAATTTCTGATTATTTGTCACCAACTACACGCGTAAAAACGTCTGTTCACAAGCTGTTAACAAGATATATTCGCACTGCTTGTTACAAGTTGTCAACAGGTTTGGAACAACTTGTTGACAACTTGTAACAACCTTGTCGAAATTATCAGGCTTGTTGCAAGGTTGTTCTGACAAGTCTGTGACATGCTTGATATAACAAGATTGTTACAACCTTGTGTTGACAACCTTGTAACATCATTGTTATATCATGGCTGTAACAAACTTGTTAGCACAATCTTGTAACAAGGCTGATAATGCCATCAAGCTTGTTACAAGTTGTTAACAGCTTGTTTCAAACTTGTTACAACAAACTGGGAACAAGCAGTGCGAGCACAACTTGTTGACAGCTTGTGAACAGACGTGTAACAACTTGTTTGCAGACCTGTGACAACTTGTGCGTTTTTACGTGTGTATACACGCGTAGAAATCTCACATCTTGTAACAAGTCTGCCAACAAGCCGTCAACATGTTGTATTCGCACTGCTTGTCCCAAGTTGTAAACAAGTTTGGAACAAGCTGTTAACAACTTGCAACAACCTTGTTGATATTATCGTACTTGTTGCAACAAGTCCGATGCAGTCATGATATAACAATATTGTTACACCTTGTATGGTCAACCTTGGAACATTCTTGTTATATCATGACTGTATCAGACTTGTCGAAACAACCTTGTAACAAGTCTGATAATGCCATCAAACTTGTTACAAGTTGATAACAGCTTGATGGTATTATCAGACTTGTAGCAAAGTTGTTCTAACAAGTCTGATACAGTCATGATATAACAAGAATGTTACAAGGTTGATGACACAAAGTTGTAACAATATTGTTAATCATGACTGTATCGGACTTGTTGGAACAAGTCTGATAATATCAACAAGGTTGTTACAAGTTGTTAACAGCTTGTTAACAGCTTGTTCCAAACTTGTTGACGGCTTGTTGACAGACTTGTTACAAGATGTGTTCACAACAGGCGTGCAGCATGCTTGTCAACAAAAAATTGTAACAATGCTGTTATTTTATCAAGTTGCAACAAGGTTGTCACTCACAAGTTGTTGAATTGCAGGTTAATAACAAATTGTTCGAACAACCTTGTAACAAGTTTGTTGAGTCAACGACCTTGTAGCAATTTGTCAACAAGGTGGGAACAATTAAGCAGTACGATAGTGAGATGGTGCTTGGTAATAAAACAGACTTAATCCATTTTAACTCACTGTATTTTATTTTATAGTTAAAACCTTTCTTTGAGAATGAACTTAAATGTATATTTGAAGACGAGCAATGTAAGTTTGAGCTTCTTTAAACTTTGATTTGTCAGCGTGTTTCCATGAAGCTGCCGTGGTAGACATTACACAACATACTTAAACATTATTTTTGTTCAGCTCTTAGCGACGAAGAGAAACAGCAAGTTATTTCAAGCGCAATTATTCCTGTTTTTCTTCTCGGTATTTTGACGTCATATTCGAAAGTGAGTAGTGATTTCCTTTGTCTTTTCCCCGTGAGGTTTCTTAATAAATTTATGTTTCACTGGGAAAAAAAGTGAAATCCATACTACGAAATTTGCAATTGCACCACTAATTCAATAGTATATCCATACTATTTTGATACTATATCCACACTATGGAAATATACAATTATTATGGATAACCAAAATCCATTCTATTTCCAATAAAGGTCCATACAATTTCCATTCTATGGCCTTCTATGGATTTTCAAAATTTTCCCCAGTGTTTATGATTGTCTAATGAATTTTATGTAATATATAAAATTTGCTGTAATTTCATGAATGATTTGTGTTCCATGTAGACGGATGATCAGGAGAATGTAAAGTCCTTTATGAAAGATGCACTCACGTCATTTGCTTCTCAGCAAAAAGACTCGCATTCTTTATATTTGGTTTGTGAGAAATTAAGGTAAATTTTGAAACGTTTCATTTTATGTGGAAACAATTTTGTAGTTACTGTGTGATAGCTACATAATTATAGAGCCGTCTACCAGTATATTAGTATCACTTGTGATGTCATTGCATGACTACATTAGGTGTAGCACATGGGTATTGGGTAATTATATGGGGGTTTGATAGGATATATTGCGTTGCATGAGGTATAGTTGGGGGTAGTGTGGTCTAATATAGTGCACCTTGGCATTGCTTAGTATTGTATTTGAGGATAAAAAATGTTTATCATGTCTTCTTTGCTATTCTAGTTCGGATGAGATATGGTGTGAAGTTCTATTTGAAACATTATGGGGTCTTCTCATACACTCCGAGCCGAATGTCAGATCTGTTGTGCCTCACTTATTGCAGGTAAAAGAATTGAATAATGGTTTAACTTAAGTTTACAGTCCTTAGTTGTTATTTTATTGATTTTATTCTAATGTAGACGATGATTAAAAATCTGGACAAAACCTCGATTATGAAGCGAGTGCTGCCTGCCCTGGTTACGTTGTCCACGGATAACGACAAGTAAGTTTAAACACAAGTACAATACTTGCTTTAGTACTATAAATAACCAGTCGCCAAGGTCGATTCCACTGTTTGAATAGACCTTTCCCCTTTTGAGTGAAATTTTGATCTAGACAAGTCTCGACAAAAATTTCATCACAGCTTGAAAGAGCGTCACAAAGTTAGTAATACTCCGAAGTTTCGTTGCGAAATGTTGTAAAATGCGGATAATATAACCTTGTTTTTCAGTCATTTTGCATTACAAATGGGAAATTGATAATCAGATGGTCAAACTGATTATCAATTTCCCATTTGTAATACAAAATGACTGAAAAAAGGGCAAACTTCGCAGGGATATATTATCCTCATTTTACGACATTTTGCAACGAAACTTCGGAATATTACTAATTTTGTGATGCTCTTTCAAGCTTAGACTTGTCTAGACTTGTCTAGATCAAAATTCCACTCATAAGGGGAAAGGTCTATTAGGAATCTGATTGCATTTCATTAGAGTCCTTGTTTGTTTCAGATCAGTGCGCATATCAACTGTGCCAGCTTTCGGAGCAATTGTGGAGCATATCAGTGATGATGAGGTTTGTTAAATATTTTTAAATATTTCGGAATTTTTTGAGGGCTTGGTCATGGAGAATGGTAGGGATGGATCCAGCCACATCTGGTAGGTGGGAAAGGGGGTGGGTTGGGTTGGGAATTACATCTCCAGATCCAAATTTGATAAGGGCTAGGAGGGGTGCGCCTCCCCCATAGTCCTTACCCAGTACCTCTCAGTAAATCCATTTGTGTCCTTCTGCTTTCTGAAGCTCATTCGAACTCTTCTGAACCAAGATTTTTCTTCGAAAAAATAAAATATTTTTGTCCCATGTGTTTTGTAGATGTTGGAGAAAATCCACATTCAGTTCCAGTCCTTCCTCAGTGATCCGTCATATTACGATCAACATGAGCTACAGGTAGCCCTAATACGAACATTTGGAAAAATTGGACCACATTCGGAGCCTCGATTTAGGGATGATTGTAAGTAACGAAGAGTTTGTCTTTGCTGACGTGGTTTGTGTTTCAACTATCTGGTTTCAATCTACAGTTTCAACTTTTTTCAGGTGGTTCAAACATAAACCACGACAGCTTAATGTTGAATAGTCCCTATATTGGACCACTACGTTTGAGATATCTTTTTCAGGTAGTTCAGACAGAAACTACGACAGCTTATTGTAGAATACTACTAGAATACTACCTACACTGGACAGCCACATTTGAGATATCTTTTGTAGCTAGTTCGGACACAAACCACGGCAGCTTATTGTAGAGTACTACTTACACTGAACCCCCACGTTTGAGATATAAAAACTAATATTCCATGTTTTCTTTACTAGTTCTTCATCCCAAACTAACAGAACTTGTGATGAGAAATGCGAAGACAGAAGACGAAGCGAAGAAGACAGAGGTCGCTGTAGTTTTACTTGAAGCATACGCCTCGTTAACCTGTTGCTGTATCCTTTATATCACTTCAGCTGTAATAAATTCTATGTTAAACCATGTGGCGCTTCTTAATCCCCCGCTCCTCCAACTCAATGTTGAGCTTGTGTCATGGTAAATTACCAAAAGTTGTTTCGACGCTGTTTACAACATTGTACTGGGGGAGAGGGGGTGACGAAATTTGTTTTATCAATGTGCATTCACTTTGCAATATTGACTGGAATGGTCTGAATGGTTGATACCGTGTCAATATATACTGCGTTTCCTTAACATTTGCAAGTTATCCCTGAAGACATCTTACGCAATAACACTCTGCCTGGTCTCATGTATTTGAAACAAGATCTTGCTACGCTGGCTCCAGACTATGAGGTAATTGAAACAGCATGGTCTTATAATGGCCGATTCCACTACACAACTTTTGCCTAAAACTGTCGCATGCAACCTGTTTACAACTTGAGTCGTACTGTGTAAATCAAGCACACAACTCACTAACGGCAAGGTAGGTGAGTTGTATGCTTGATTTACACAGTACAACTCAAGTTGTAAGCAGGTTGCATACGACAGTTTTAGGCAAAAGTTGGATAGTGCAAATCGGCCTGACGGCCTGATTGTGTGTTTATAACTGTGTGACCATCAGGGATGGAATTCCCGTGGGGAAGGGGTGCGCACCCCTTAGCCTTCGAAAAGAAGGGTGCCAATTCATTATCAGATCGATTTTTCAGTTTAGAAAGGCAATATCCTGTCACCATTATCACAATAAGGTTCCTGAAGCCTGCCAGGGGACAGTGTTTCTCCTGCTTTCAGAACACTTCTGCGCGTAACTCTAAGTGATTATGGACCTGGTCAACAATTACTCCCTGACCATGCCATGGGTCGATGAGCACCCCCACCTACCCTATCTAGTTGGATCCATCCCTGGTGACCATGTTGTGAATTTTTAGGCGACGGTGAGTTTACTAATGAAAGATTGTGAGGACAAATTGGTCAGCCAAAAGACTGCAGGGTGAGTTTTCGTAGAAGTATATAGCACGTGCTCGTATAAATGATGAGTAAATTGCGTGCTCACATAGATAATATGCGTGCTCACACAGATAATGTGCGTGCTCACACAGATAATGTGCGTGCTCACACAGATAATATGCGTGCTCGTTTAGGTAAATAACGTTCCCGTTAATTAAGGTCACATGCTTGCCCATAAATTGCTTGCTCCTGTAAGTCCCGTGCGTGCTCTGGCCGAATTTTTACGTGAAGATTTCATTTTCCTTGCAGGCCAGGTCCAACTGCATCCAAGGTTCACGCGGAGGACGTAAAACGCGCCATCCTGAACAAATTTCATAAACTTAAGGAAGTATCGCCTAAACCTAAAATGGTTGATATTTTTAGGAAAAAGAATCGCTCAGATTCCGATAAACCAAGCTAAAATAATTCAATGAATATTAATGAATCCCAAATAGCGATAAAATCGCTGTCCATATAAAGCCACTAGTTCACAGTGTCGACAACAATGTCGCGTTCTGTGCCGATGAAATTGCAATTGAATTATAACATGTGGCTAGAAGATAATTAACATGTGAAGATTACACAGTTATTCAGCTATTATTTAAAGGCTTTCAAAAATGTTGGGGGCGATTGCCGCCCTGCCAGTATCCGCGTACTGATACATATTTTAAATCTTCTAGTCTACATGTTATGACTCAATTGAGATTTATCCCGACGCAAAACGCGTGATTTGAATGCGCGGACGACTATAGGAACACAAAGCATAAAGGCCCACACAGACCGGACGCGATTCGGCAACGCGACGGGAATTTTCAGTTTTCAAAAACAAATAAAACCGTCAACGGATAAAAATTTTACAAGATATGCAGACCAAATAGCTAAAATTGCTTAAGTGGTTCCGAATATTTGAAAAACATTGAAAAATATCAAAGTTAAATGTCATTGAAAACTGAAAATTCGCGTTGCCAAATCGCGTCCGGTCTGTATGGGCCTTCATGCAACACAGATTCGCGAGTTCAATATTTCTAATCAATTCAATCTCGTTGGATAAATGTGGGCCACTGCACCGTGTGCTTCCAAAAATGAATATTCGTAATGAAATTTTAAAGGTACGAACGTCCATAGACCGAGCATGCGCGATATAACATTTGATTTCAAAATTCGCCTAAACGTGAAGTAAAACTACGGAATTCTATTCAATTTTAACTATGAAATGAAACGCACCAAGGTATGAATATAGTATTTTTCGTAATTTAGATAATTTAATATAAATGGATAATGTTATGTCAATGCACTAACGACATTCGACAGCATTAAATTTAAATAGAAAATGAAATACGTATTAAATTACAGTAGATAGTTGTGTAACATAAAAATGTCCTTTGCTAGCCTAGTCCCAGGCCTTCCCGCGTGACTTGATCCGGGAGAAGGCCTAGCGAAATTCGTCAACTTGGTGTAGTCCTAAATTCATAAATTTCCTTCCATATCGAAATATCTTCATTGTCCATCCCAAAGGCATAAAGTTATACAAAAACATTGATGTAAATATGTAGAACTTAGGACCGCTCCTAGGGCAAAATTGGTTCCAAGAAAGGCAGATTTGCGAATTGTGCTAGACCTTCTCGTCTTTTCCCAGCGCGCCTAATAGCATCACGGAAGCGAAAGGCAGCAGGAACTAGCTGGTCCTTTACGTACATAACATTTATCAAAACAATATTGCCGTTCAGTCATGGTAATTTTCCATTGTTTTGAAAATCTATACACTGTTCTTCATGCCACTAAATACAGGGTGAGAATTGGAAAAAATTTCGACCTACAAAAAATTTGGGCCATGTACTGCACACGTAAAAACACACTAGTTGTTACAAATCTGTTCACAAGCTGTCGACAAAGTTGTCTTCGCACTGCTTGTTCCCAGTTGTTGTAACAAGTTTGGAACAAGCTGTTAACAACTTGTAATAAGCTCGATGGCATTATCATACTTGTCACAAGGTCGTTCTAAAGCCCGGGCTTTACCCTGGGCAAACTAGGAAACATTGTTGCGGGCAAACATTGTTTCCTACCAATGTTTCGCCATGTTTTCCAGAGTGGGAAAACACTAGGAAACATTAGTGAGAAACATAGGGAAACATCAAATGTTTCTGAATTCGCTAGGAAACATTTTTTGGGAAGCAAATTTTGTCTCCGCAACAATGTTTCCACGGGTGGGCAAACAGGGAAACATTTGAAGAAACATCAAGAATCACAAATGTTTCCACAACAATGTTTCCTAGTTTGCCCAGGGCTTAACAAATCTGATACAGTCATGATAAACAAGAATGTTACAAGGTTGACGACACAAGGTTGTAACAATACTGCTATATCATGTTGGATCAACCTTGTAACAAGCCTGATAATATCAAAAAGGTTGTTACAAATTGTTAACAGCTTGTTCCAAACTTGTTGACAACTTGGGACAAGCAGTGCGAACACAACTTGTTGATAATGAACTATACAAAGCAAGACACTGGTCAATGTTTTATTTATATTTTAATGCATTTCATATTTGTTGAATGTACACGTGCATAAGTATACGAGATAGCTATCAAGTATGATTCCATATCTGATAGATTTTTACATGCACTGTTTTTTGTTTCACAAAATATATTTTAACTTAATTCATTGTTCATACAAAAATTCATACATTCGTTTCTACATATAATCTACATCAAGAGTCTTCAAAGGTTTTTTGGAGCAAGGCTATTTGTTCTGCAAAGGAAAATGAAAATATGTTAGAAAATTTGCACTAGAAAACACTAGACACTCATCTCAGCTTCCGTTGCAGGCGGTATTAGCGGGCCGCCTGCACGCAGGCTAGACATTCCCGAATTTGTTTAGCGAGGCTGATACTGGGTTATATTTAATTCAAGTAATTGCCAAGCCTCAGTTTCGTACGAAAGCTTCATGCCATGGCTAACCTTTGTCCAATTCACCAATAACGCTCATTTTCTGAATAAATTCTTGACACGTTGATTTCGGAAGACCAAAGGCTTTCATATTATTCGCAAATGTTCTAAATAGACGAAGTTTTGTACATATTAGTTGTTTAATTTATTAACAATAGAGGCCAGATAGCTTCATGGTTGGCTTACCCAAGTTGACCAAATATGCTGTTTTTATGATGTTCTTTTTTATCGTGTTTGTCATTTTCAGACAGATTGTTCCAGTCGGACCTGCGTATAAAATACACAAGACATAATTTAAAATCTCGTTTGTGGGCTGAGGGTTAAACAAAAGTGCATCGTTCAGGAAGCATTGTTTCCTAGCCATGTTTCCTGAAGGTGGGCAAACCAGGAAACATTGTTTCCTAGCCATGTTTCCTGAAGGTGAGCAAACCAGGAAAAATTGTTTCCTAGCCATGTTTCTTGAAGGTGGGCAAACCAGGAAACATTGTTTCCTAGCCATGTTTCCTGAAGATGGGCAAACCAGGAAACATTGTTTCCTAGCCATGTTTCCTGAAGTTGTGCAAACCAGGAAACATTGTTTGTTATAGTCATGTTTCCTGAAGATGGGCAAACCAGGAAACATTGTTTCCTAGCCATGTTTCCTGAAGATGGCCAAACCAGAAAACATTGTTTCCTAGCCATGTTTCCCGAAGGTGGGCAAACCAGAAAACATTTTTTCCTAGCCATGTTTCCTGAAGATGAGCAGACCAGGAAACATTGTTTCCTAGCCATGTTTCCCGAAGGTGGCCAAACCAGGAAACCTTGAAGATGGGCAAACTGCATTCTTTATCCCTTTAGTACTAACAATGTCATAACTATGGTCATAACTTTGAACATCATACCGAGGTAATGTTGGACTGTGGTTTTCACTGTGAACAGAATCCAGGAAAGCTGCATTCCAAAACCGCAATGCACGCCTATGTAAAAGAAGATTAAAAGGCCTTGGGTACAAGGTAGTCATTATATGTAGAAGTAGTTATTGTTACTTACCATATAGGCTGGTCCCTAAGGTAAACTTGAAGAAACTCCTTCCTTTCTACAGTTTTACCTAAAATAAACGACTAATCAGTTATTATACAAAGTCTCACCGAGCAACGGTTAAGACTTTTAAGTAGCAGTATCGCTACGGTTTTGAGTCGCGGTGCAGTAGGAATATCTACCTCGTATTAAGGCTGGTTTACACTATCAAACTTTCTGTGATCACAGTAGGAATTTTGGATAGGTAAATTCTAACAGGTTACTGAATGAATACCTTTCAGAAACCTGCACTTTAAGTGTACATCATTCAAAGAGTAAGTACACCTTGAGACTTAATTTTATACCAGCTCAAGTACGAGGCAATAGTCATAGAGTACAAGTCGGTACGATTAAAAATCTCGAATTATCGCACCCTGAACCGACTCTGTGTTTAACACTGAAACAGTTTCCTCAAACGTTTCTTACAAACCCTTCAAAACTTAGAATTTACCTTTGCAGAATTCCTACTGTGATCACAGAAACTTTGATATTGTAAACCAGATTTTAAAGACGGTTTTCACCGGTTCTCTACTAGGCGAATTTTTTCCTTTTGCTGATGTGATAAGCGATGCCAACCGAAAGGGAAAAGTAGCTTTGCACGTACAAGTTCGCCTAGTGGAAAACAAGCTTGCATAATTATATTAAGTTCTTTGTAGTTTTTGTGGGGTTTTTTCTTTGATAATTATATTCCTGAGCGGTACTGTACCTGCGCGAAAAACATGACAAAAAGTAAAACACATATTCATCAAAGTTTTCGCTGGAGGAAAGTCATCTGCTTGGTGACACCTGGAATACACAAGACTCCAAAAGTTACAATCTTCCCTCCGGAAATATGCACGAAAAAAATCTCTTGTGTGTTCGCACTGCTTGTCCCAAGTAATTGTCAACAAGTTTGGAACAATCTGTTAACAACTTGTAACAACCTTGTTGACATTATCAGACTTGTTGCAAGGTTGTTCCAACAAGTCTGATACAGTCATGATATAACAATATTGTTACAATCTTGTGTCGTCAATCTTGTAACATTCTTGTTATATCATGACTGTATCAAATTTGTGAGAACAACCTTGTAACAAGTTTGATAATGCCATAAAGCTTGTTACAAGTTGTTAACAACTTGTTACAACAACTGGGAACAAGCAGTGCGAACACAACTTGTCGACAGCTTGTCGGAACAGATTTGTAACAACTTGTTTGCAGACCTGTGACAACTTGTGCGTTTTCCGTGTGTAGGCTAATTGCCACCACATCTAACTAATTTATGGGCTTTTAGTAATTTCAAGAGGAATATACTTACTCAAAGAGTACAGTGGCAAAATACTGAACAAGTCTGAAAAATGTAATTTCATCCACGCATTTATTTTCCCCTCGCTAAAAAAGAATTGGCAAGTACTTAGTTGGATCAAGAATTGATTGTTACACAGGACAGGATGTCTGAAGGAATCCTGCAAGTAAAACTGTATTTTCATATTCCAAACAGATGAATTATCCGAAAGTATCTGCGCAGTTTGATCGTCTCATGACGGATGACGCGTCAGTATCAGTGGCGCCGTGGGACCCATGTTTTTTTTTGGGGGGGGGGGGCAAGGGCAGTACTTTTCCGACAAACCGGAAAATAGTTTCCGACAGAAACGTCGCGAAAACTTTTTAACTGAAATTTTTTTGGGCGACCTCATTACATCTTAAAATTTTTCCGGACATCACCAATTCTCTCCATTTATCCAAAATTTTCCGAGTATACCAACGTCGGAAAATTTGACAATTTCCGACAACGTTGACAATTTTCCAAAAATTTCTGACAACATTCACAATTTTCCGACGGGTCTCCACAATAGGGGGGGGCATGCCCCCCCCCCGGCCACGGCGCCACTGGTCAGTATGTGAAAATACGATATTAGATAAAACCGGGGAAAGGGAGAGTTAAGATTTCGAAGAGTTCGTTGTTGCCTTTCAATGTAATTTATTTCAATTAGCCTTTCTCACGAAGTCGAAGGTCTATAAAATCCGCAATTTTTAGCGTACTATTTTATAAACAACGTGAAAAATCTAAGCGATGTGAAAATAATTTTTCAAATATTTAACTGTAAATCGATTTATAATGATTATACTTACAACTATAGTTATAGAAAGTTTCATTTTCACTGTTTACTATGATACTATCCCTGTTCTAAAAAGGTTGCCACCCAAAAATGGCGGCGTGAGAAAGGCTCGTGGCAGATGCGGCATATGCCACGGACCTCGCGCTTATGGGGGCCTCGCGCTTTACTGTGCCACACCCATTTTTACGAGAACACGCCCTTTTAGGTGCCTCGCGAATTTAGGGGCCTCGCGCATTTAGGGCCCCTAGGCTTGGCAGTTGGCCTCAGGGAAATATGCAATACTTGTATGCATGTAATCTCCAGTTGCGCTGAGTTGTTATATGATCCTGTTTATACTTGTTGACCCAACAACTGGGCCGAAACATTGCATTGTCTCGTTTATAAGTGATGCCAATAATTGAAATATTGAAAACAATTATTTAACAATTTTATGTGTCTTTGAATTCAAAGATTTTCAAAACGGGAGGAGGGGGGCTCGCGCTAAAATCTGCCACGGGCCTTGCGCAACGTTAATCCGGTCCTGGGCTAATTGCATACTGTATTTAGTCATTTTAGTGTTTATATAAGCCGACATGTATTATAACTTGTACCTGCATGTTGATGTAGCGAGCAAACCATCGTCTGGCAGGAGAATGCTACATAACATCAACAGAAATGAAATTTCAAGACCTAACTAAAAGTTGCGTCGATCTCATATAAATACGATTGATGGCATCAAACCTGGCAAATTACTCCGAACTGTGCTTTTTCCTCTTGAGTGATCTCACTAAAAAGCACGAACTTGTATTCTTATTTGCTATCCACTTTCCTTAAAATAGGTATGGCATATTTATCATAATGCGCGGGATGTGAAGCACGCAGAAGCGTAGCCTACAGCTGATAAAAGCGTCTGTGAGCAGGCTAGCAGAAGTACATATTAAGGGTGTGCAAGAAAATTGCTATTGGATTGTATATTTTTCATCAATCTTTGGAAAAAAGAACTGTTCTAGTTGTATAAAAATAGGTACACTTAGGCGTACATGTATCTGTGCAAAATAAATTCCACTCAGGGCCGCCGAGAGGGGGGGAAATGGCCCCAGGTTCTGGGGGCCCCTAGAAATTTTTTGTTGGGCCCCAGTCATTTTTTGGGGTTAAATATTTCCGCGGAAAGGGTAAGATATTTGTTTTTGGGGGGTAAAGTACCGAAATTTGGTATGAAAAATTGAGGTAAAGTCGCTGGAAAGCAATTGCAACGTACTCGTTCGGAAAAAAATTTTCCCTAAAAAGGGGGAGGTTGTTGTTCTCAGAAAAAAAAATTTTTCCGGAAAAATTTTTGAAATAGGGGCTTCTAAAAAAATTTGCCCCAGGCCCCCTCCAACCTCTCGGCACAGAATACTACACAGAAGTCCATCTCCATTGTTTTTAGCGTAAGCTCTATTCGTCATGATTCGTCACTCAGCAAGTACCGTAAACAGAAGCAGTCACCTCCCTGGACGTGCGTCATTTTTAGTATTTCCAAGGGGGGACTGCTTCTGTTTACGGTACTTGCTGAGTGATGAATCATGACGAATAGAGCTTACGCTAAAAACAATGGAGATGGACTTCTGTGTAGTATTTTGTGCTCTCGGCAGCCCTGATTCCACTAACACACTTCCATGCATGATAACAATACATCTGTACAGGCATGTAGACATAGACACAGGAATACACTTATTTGATTATAGTTTTTACCACCTTCCGGAAAATATTTTTGACACAAACTTATTCATAAATTCTTTGCACTCATTAGTAAATGCACTTGTTTCAGCTTCATAATCAATTTCATAACCTATAAAATAAGTGTAAACCGTTTTAGAGGATTTTTGGTATGTTCCATAGCGCACGTGCACTAAAAAATATGAGTACAATATACCTGACTCGTACACAGTCTCTCTGATGAAGATTGAAAAAATAATGGTGCATGATGGGAATGGTCACATTCAGTCCACTGACCTATGGGTACGAGTCAGACAATATACCACTTGGGTTTGAATATATTCCAGAAAAAATCCACACTTCACCACAGAGGAAATTGGAAGTTAGCCCCCTCCCCCCTCAGACATCCTAGAACATCCCCCCTCTTCCTCAGACATCCTAGAACATCTTAATATCATCAAACTAGATTTCACCCAGTATGGATCTTTTCTGGAACAAACCATTTTTAATTTTTTATAAATTTTTCAATTGGCAAAAGAAGACATGCCTAAACTTAAAACTGTGAAAAACTGGGAGAAAGAATACAACATTAAACTTGAATGGGATTATATACAGTACAACCTGATGGAAATATTCAATGTGTAAAGAATACAACGATCGGCTCCAAGGGTTGAAAAACTACAGTCGTGCATGGGTCGATTGGTCGAAGGCTCTAAAAGTGCGACCTCTGATTCTATCAACACTGATATGCACAAGCATGCTGTTGATATAGCAATGAAAAAACATTTGAGATTAAAATATTGGAATTTCCAATGTTGTAGGGAGCCGGGAAATGGGGGAGGGGGTGTACGACTTTTCAATGACAATAATTGCGATGCACTAATTTCCCAAAGTTAATTCGTACCCTGACAGTTCCTATGATATTAACCTTGGTTACTATGTAACGTCATTAATAATGATGTTTGTGATGTTACTCTGAGTGTATGTCCACACCGGGCAAGCTTGAAAATATTGCCTGGCCACAGTGGGAAGCGAACCTATGACCTTTGGAATACTAGCCCAATGCTCTGCCAACTGAGCTACACGGTCAGGTCGGTTTGAGTAGGCTATCATATACCCAAAATGTCACTACAGTATATGTGTGAATTTTAAAAGTTTTTTTGCCTTTTATACTTTCCCCCAAGATGTATAGGATCAAAATTTTTGAATTATGATTGGTCCATTTAATTGCAATAATAGTCGTACCTCTGCGAACACAGCAATATAAATTATTATCACTAATTTATACCGATTTTGACCTTGGTGAAAAGATAAATAATATAGGTATCTTGGTAGCAATTGGTTTAAATAAACAGTTCCTCGCACTTTATTCAATTTTATGACTTGTTCAAAATGCAGTTTCTGTCAAAATATATTGGAAAAAAGTGATGTTTTGACAAACAATTATTACGTATCTCATTTTTTTTTTAGTTTTTGCACTTTTTTGTATCGCATATCTTCAAAAGTGCATTGCGATTTGCGAATCGCGATATGTTAATTCGTACACCTGACTGTGTGCAGTCTGGGTACGACATATGTGCCCTCACGATATCGGATATAGAGAGTGCCAAGCAGACTCGCAGGTCATTAGCAAACTCATTGCCAACTGCAGTAGTAATCTGCTCAGATCAGAGAAGAAGCAATCTGATTCTGCATACCATTATTCTCATTCAGCGAGTCTTCAAAAACATCCCGTCTAGCATCTGCGGCAACTGCCATCCTAATGTTCATATAAACAACACATGAATACTGAGCCCAGATATATGAACCAGACTCAAACAAAGGTTATGTAAGATTTAAGGCAAGACAAATCAAGGTCCCCCTTCATTAAAATTTTAATTGATCTATTACCAAAAACAACAACAATTTGACAGAACTCACAAAATATTAAATTTTTACATGGACAGAAAATCAGCTGTTTTCATCGTATTCCCACGCTAATATGCAAACACAGTGAACAACATTTAACTTTAGAATGATTTAATATCACTGTATGGTATACTGTTGTACATCAAATGCACTATTTTGTACGATATCATAAAACATTGTATTATAAATAAAGCCATACAACATACCCAGTTAAATGCTTGATCTCTGCAATTCATCTAACATAAACATTAGAATATTAAAATTAGACTACCACCTGTGTTTTCTTATGAAAACAACGATCAAAAGTAACATATTTTGAATTTGAACATATTTATAAATTTGCAACTCTTCACACCGGAAATGAAATTTGGAACGTGAAAATTGCGCGGGTTCACGCGGGAAGTTCTATTACCCCCCCCCTGTCATTTTAAAATAGTTCGGAATCTGTCGACTTGCATCGCAAAGTGCCGAGATCCCGACGGAGTGCCGGGCATTTCCGAATTTTAAATATTTTTTAGTGGTGAAGAAATGTGAAGAAGCAAGGCAGAAAATGGACGACATTTTTTTTATCAAACATACCTTTATTGGAAGGTAATATGCTTTATTTAATATCAATCCTTGTAGTAGAGTACTTAGATTGACAATATAGATGGAAATTTAGGACATCGAGCTCGAACTTAATGCGATATTTCGGCATAAAGTTTGTGCTTTTGCTTTGCACGTGGTTCGCTTTATGGGCGATTGTCGAACTTTAAACCGTTTTTTAATTCATAACTATTGTCGACCAAGTGAGTAAAAAGGCTAAATAAGATCTAGAATTGTTTATGTTGTCGAAAAAAGTTGTTATCTCTGAGTTCTTACCCAAAATTTTTATATTAATTTTTATATCAATATCCAGAAATTCTGAATGTGTTTCTTGACGTGAGTGCATGGGTGGGTAAGCAGGCTAGTATTAAAGATTAGAGTTTGCAGGCTGAGGGTGGTTTGAAAAGATGATTGTTCTTTTGAAGCACATCTACTCCAGGCTCAAAAATATGCACTACAGTAGCAGTGTAAAGCCTTTTTTCGACATGGACTGGCAAGGATTCAGAGAAAGCTAAAAAAATAAAAAGACGTCTGGAGTCGGAATGAGTTTGAAAAAAATTCCAATCAAAGTTTAACATTTCCAACGGACCATTTGCATTATAGACTAAATTTTGATCTAGACAAGTCTAGACAAAAATTTCATCACAGCTTGAAAGAGCATCACAAAATTAGTAATATTCCAAAGTTTCGTTGGGAAATGTTGTAAAATGCGGATAATATAGCCTTGCGAAGTTTGCCATTTTTCAGTCATTTTGTATTACAAACGGGAAATTGACAGCCCAATCGGATGTTGGGGCTGTCAATTTCGCGTTTGTAATCTAAAATGACTGAAAATTGCAAACTTTGCAAGGCTATATTATCCGCATTTTACAACATTTTGCAACGAAACTTTGGAATATTACTAATTTTGTGATGCTCTTTCAAGCTGTGATGAAATTTTTGTCTAGACCAAAATTTAGTCTACAATGCAAATGGTCCATTAGCCTTTCTCACGCTACCATTTTTGGGTGGCAACCTTTTTAGAACAGGGATAGTAAGCAGTGAAAATGAAAGTTTCTATAACTATAGTTGTAAGTTTAATCATCATATCTTACTAGCCAAGCTATTCACACCCTCAGTAAAACTCTCATAAATTTTTGTAGATGTTCAATGCAAGTTCCAAGAATGTTGCAAG